ACAGTTTAACAGGATACAACATCTGCCAAAAAAGCAAAAACTCTTCCTTTGATTAAAAATTAGATTTTTTTTGTAGAAATCATTTCCCTAAATGCAAAAATAAATATTCACAAACACATTAATGTCAAATAAAAGGTTTACATTTAAACTAAAGCATAAAATAAAATAGCCTTTACTCTTCTTAAATACTGAGGAGCCAGAAGCAGTTCTGAGTGTTGTGGCTCCTGGATGAGATAAAGTGGGTGTATGTTCATGGGTATATGCTTTTTGTGTGTCTGTGTGCGCGTCTGTGTGTTTTTGAATGAGTATGTGTGGCTGTAAGCCTTTACTGTGGTGGCAACAATAAAGAAAATACGCTGTGCTTTGATGCAACATTAGGTTTAAATGTTAATAATTTATTGTCCTGCTAACAGCAGCAGGTCAGGGTCGTTTTACTCTCCCATGTATATTTTTACGGGCATGTTGGGAGGGTGTGGGATTTAATTTTTATATTTTAAAATGTTAACACAACTTAATAAATGTAATTTTTATATATTTATATTTTTATAACTCCACAAAACAATGTTACTGAAGTCTTGAAATATAGATGGTCAAGCAGACCTGGTTACTGCAGGTGTCACTATGACACAAAAGATGCTTATTTTAAACATTATGTCACAGTGTTAATAGTTCATCTGCGTACATATGGTTTACTTTAACGTCTGTAGCGTTACTGTAGATTTCTCACTGTGTAACATGAACTGCAGTGGATGGGAGGAGCTTCAAAGTAACTTTTCTTCATATTTAAGTTGTCAAAAAGCTGGTTTAATAAGAACTCCCTCCTGCTTTTTCCAAGTAAAGGATTTTGATTACAGTAACAAGCGCTTCTGTTTCGGATGCTAGTGGATGCTCAGCATCTCTGTGGCAGCTCTGCCTCTTTGTTTCCTGGCATTAGTGAGCAGACAGACTCCACATTGAAGGATGAGAGCATATTCAGAGAGAACTATGGCTGCTTGGGCTGAATATGTTTTACTCCAGGTCTGTTTTAGTGGCAAATGCAAGTGACATGCATGCTACAGAGCTCTGGAGCTTTAGCTCAATAACAGTGTGTAGAAGCCTCATGACCAAGCAGCTGCATCCAAGCATTACATCATCAAGTGCAATGCAAGCGTTGGATGCAGTGATGTAAACATGCCGCCACTATACTCTAGAGCAGTGGAGTGACGAGTCACACTTTTCCCATCTGGCAGTCTGATGGAGGAGAAACGTACTGGTCTGACCCCACTGTGCCAAGTGTAAAGTGTGGTGGAGGGGGGATTATGGTGTGGGGCTGTTTTTCAGGTGTTGGGCTTTAGTTAAAAGTTTTAATCCTTCAACATATCAGGACATTTTGGACTATTTCATGCTCCCATCTTTGGGGATATTCAGCCTCAAAATGCACAGGAGCCACATTTACACCGGCAATATTTATGGCTGGACAATATTGTTGTTTAGGTAAGTTTACAGAATCTGAACTACAAATCCGGCCTGTTTGTGTACAATATGAGTTACATTTAAATTAGGGATGCACCAATACTGGTATCGGGGCCGATACTGTAAAATGTGTGTGTACTCATACTCGTAAAAGTTAACCGATACCATGAACCGATACCAACTTGTTTCATTAATCAGAGGGTGG